TCGGAGGTTCCCAGGACCCCAGCTTCACATTTGATAACTATCTAGAGGAATTCAAGGAACTTCAAAGGATTATTATGAAGGATACATTTAGGAATAGACAAACAGAAATGTCCAGGGCAAGGCACAGGGTATTGGATGAACAGAGCCCCTGTGCCCTTTGAGGCACCTCGCCCTCCAGAACCTCCCTGTGCTCAGCAACTCCGGAACTCATCAGGTGGGTGGATGAGGTTAGAAATTCAAACTCTCTAATCTAAGCATTAGGTACCTCTCAGCACTGGGCTCCACCCTGAGGCTGTCTAGAGTCCCAGTTCAAAGCAACCTCATTAGTGTAAAGTATTAGCCTCAGCCATTATCCAAGGGGCTCATTATGAATAACAAAAGATACATCGTGTCACTTTGGAACTCGTGTTTTTGGAACTCGTGTTTTTTTTTTTTTTTTTTTTTTCGTTTAAGGAGGAGGGAACCACTATCACCTTCTACTGAGAAGCCACCCTGATCGCCGTGACAAAGGAGCTTAAACTTCTCAGAGGTCTGTGGGCCTCTATCTCCAGATTTGTCTCATTTGTTTCATTTTGCTCCGTGCCTCCACCTTTTGTGCCCTTCCGGGAACAAAAGCATCTCACTGCATTAAACCACTCCCCAGGACTTCCTAGCTTTAGAGAAGAGCCTCAGGGATCTGCAGCTTCAGCCCCTTCATTAAACTCTTGGCTGGAGAGGGAAGTGGAGTTCAGTTTTCACAGGCTGATGCCCTAGAAGGTGTAGAGTCAGCAGCAATTGCTTTTACAGCAAGAGTCTTGGCCGTGTGAGCTTTAAAGTAGCAAACGATTGCTACATAAGCTTTCAAACACACACACACACACAGGCCAAAACAGAAAAAAAACAAGATTTTATTATTATTATTATTTGAATATGCCAAACGAAGAATTTCTGTTCTAAGAGGTACAGAGTTGAACAACATTGACTGGCATAGTATCATCATCAAATTTATGTCTAAAATTGACCATAGATCAATAGTTAGCGTGCTTCAAGATAAAGCAAATCCAATGAAAAAGAAAATCCAAAGGGGGAGGGAAAAAAAAAAGTCTGTAAACATGATATCAGCGATGAGGAAACTCAAAAGATTCAAAATGTCATCAAAAGATGCTGAAACTGTCTGGTTACTACAAAAACAGAGTTTAAGAACAGGCAAAGATGGGAGCTGAGGAGATGGCTCTGTGGTTAAGAGCACTTGCTAAGCTTGCAGAGTACAGAAGTTTGGTGCTTAGCAGTCACGCCAGATGACAAACAACCTCCAGTAACTCCATCTCCAAAGCGTCTGGTCTCCAGAGGCAGCGACACACTTGTTGCACACACGCAAATACACGAAAATAAAAATATCTTCTTTTTTTAGAAAGAAGAGGTCACGGTACAGAGATCAATCCTCTGCCTGGGTGTTGGCTGAGAAGCAAAGTAGTGGGAAGACTAAGCCTTGAGGAGGACATCTGGCAAGCCTTTGTCAAGAGGAGGAACCAAGCACACATATTGTGACCAGCAACTTTGCCCATGAGTTTGAAAACCCTCACAGTGAAATCTGCAGAAAGTATCTGGAACAGCTGAATTTGTGAGGCAGGGAATTGGTTAGAGGCTATCTCTGAAGCTACCAGAGACCGATGTGTGCAGGGGTCACTGTGCACCATGATACAAAAGGGGCACTGAATATACAGAGGAAGGCAGGAAAGTCATAAAAACAAGGTTAGTGTGGTGATTTAAATGAGAATGGCCCCCAGGGGCTCTTACATTTGAATACTTGGTCTCCAGTTGGTAGAACTGTTTGGGAAGGATTAGGAGGTGTGGCCTTGTTGGAGGAGATGTGTCACCGAGGAAGGGCTTTGAGGCTTCAAAAGACACCCACCCTTTGCAGTGTGCCCTTCTCTGTCTGCCTCCTACTTGTGGATCAAGATGTGAGCTCTCAGTCGTTCCGGCCTTTGCTCTGCCATCATGGCCTCTAACCCTCTATAACCATAAGCCCAATTAAATCCTTTATTTAATAAATTGCCTTGTCATGTTATTTTGTTACAGCAATAAAAAAGTAACTAAGATAGGAACACAGAAGTAGCATTTGGGAGGTGGGGACAGGAGGATCAGAAGTTCAGGGATATCCTCTATCACACAGCAAGTTTGAGGCCAGGTTAGGCTACGTGAGGTGTTAAAAAGACAACTGTTCTAAGAAGGAAGGGTCTAGACAACAGTACTTAGAAAAGATGACGGAGGGGAGTCTAGTGGTAGTCCAAGTGAGGCTGTCAGACCCACATAAACTGACAGATGCTATGTCCTTTTCCTCCAAAACCCCAAGTTACAGGAGACCAAGTGTTAGTGAGCACTCACTGTACAAGACTCTAGGGATTTCTCACCATACTGTGTGCTGTTCGCAGGCCAGGGATTATCACTTCTCTTTCCCAGGTTAGGAACATGAAGCTCAGAAATAACTAGGCCAAAAAGAAGAAAGTCCCCCAGCAACTGAACCTCCTCGTGAATTTTTCCTATCTTCCTTTCTCCTAGTTTCTAAAGAAAGAAAGAAAGGAAGACAACCCCCCCCCCCCCCAAAAAAAAACCCTCAGTGCTGTGATTTCCTGACCTCTGGGCTATTTTGTGCAATAGCTCTGTGTGTCTTCCTTCTCAGACCTCAGGGCACACTAGTCCTTCCACTACGACAGACAGCTAGCCACCTGGCTGTTTCTGTCACCTTTTCCCAGTTTCTGCCTAGCAGCAGGGCCCCGAGGGGTCTTCAAGCTCATCCTGCTCCTCCACAGCCATCAGAGCAACTCTTGGGAGTCTAGAGAGGCTCCTACTCTAATTTCCAAGGCTAAATTGGGTTCCATTCACAAGGGACTGGAGACACCCTTCCACAGCTGTTCACTCTGATCTGGCGCTCCACCATCCCGGAGTCAAGACATAGCAGGCAGCCAGGACAGCAATATACTCCCAAGGCTTAGGATAATGTAAGCAAACTCTCTGTGAGCTAGGAAGGCTGCAGAGCGGGAACCACATGCTGTGGCACGCTACCAAAGCTAAGGCTCCGTAGGTCAAATCATGTGCTTTAAACCTACCCACGACTCACGCCGGGGATAAGCTAGAGTAGCTTTGTCAGTCCCTCTCCTCCCACTCTTGACACTGGCCAATGTAGCTTAGTCTTCCTCAGGTCCCACTTCAATGACTTGGACGAAGATTTGTAAGAAAGCAGTTCCAACCCACGAAAAGTATTCCAAACATTCAGGAATGATGGGCTCCAACTTGTAGTACATTGTGGCCTCATCTTACAACACAGTGAGCTCATTCTGTCCTAAAGAGGGACTCCCCCCCCCCCAGGTATATGTACACAACTGAGAAGAAAAAGAGTGTTAGAAAAAGAAAATGCTGTGACGTTGTGGTTCATATAGGAAATCAAAACAAACTGATAGTGTTTATCCTACCCTTCTGGGAGGAAGTAGAGACGTGAGCTAGTTAACAATCCAGTCATGTTAATGTCTGTATAGCCGTAACCGCTTGCAAAGCTTCAAGCAAGCTTAGCCTTGGAAAAAGAACACCGAGAGACCGCAGAGTTCTTGAGACCCGCGATTCTTCTTTTGCCAACCTGCTGCTGAGGCGGCCTTCCTCTTTTAACTCCAGAGGCTTGAGGACCATTAGAACTGCCCCTGCTCTGAGAGTCTCTAAGCCAAATTCGGTAGGGAGGGAACACTCCCCTTCCCTGACCTCTGAGCTGTTCCTGTACACAGCGGGTTAGCCTGCCTTGCACACCTTCCTTTTCCTTCCACACCCTCCGGTTTCACCAAGTTTCTGGGAACCCACCCTGCTATTTCTCTTGCAAAGCTCTAAGTTTCTGTTGCTGTTCCCAACCCTCCCCCTACAGCCTGGCAGAATCTTCTACTCTAGGGATCTATGTTAGGTTGAATGTGAGTGGTGGCTCCATTCATATTTACATCTCAGGTAGGTCTTATTTGGTTGTTCTTTGCGCCTTCTCTACACGCAATTCTCAACACGGGATTCATCACCTCCAACAGAGTACTGAGAAGACTAAACTTTCACATTTTAAGTTTAAGGCCCCCTCTCCTTCTTTTTTTTTTTTTTTTTAAGACAGGATCAAGTGTTCCCTAGCTAGGCTGGCCCCTCTTTGTAGGCAAGGATGACCTTGAACTCCTGATCCTCCAGCCTCCACCAGCCTTGCTCCACAAGCCTAGTTTGTGCAATGCTGGGGATCAAATCCAGGGCCTTTGAAATTCCACGCAGGAGCTCTAACAATCCAGCTGCCTCCCAGCTCCCTCATCTCTCAAGGTGGGCTCTTTCACGATCTCTACAGACAAGCGGGTTTCCCAGCTTTCCCGCATTTGGCTTTTCTCTGACATTTCTTTTTCCTTGAACCTGTACAGTAGTGCCTGGGAGCAGCAAAAACTAACAGTTATGGAGGTTGTATTATGGGCACACAGTGCTTTGTGGGAAATAGTCTTCCTCCCACTTTAAAGACGATTCGTCCACGGAGGCCCACTAAAAAAAAAAATAGCATAAGGTCACACAGTACTGGAAATCTACCTGAGGAGATGAGTTTGTTGTGCTCAGACTTCAGAGCCAGTCCGATGTGTTTTCCCTTTTGGTGGCTGGTGACCTGAATAAATTTTGACCCGATCTCCTTTCAGTGAAGTAGGGATGAGGCTATTCTTTGAAAGGCAGAGCAGACGGGAGACATGGAGGAGGCTGAGATGGGTCTCCGGCCCTTGATAACCTCCAGTGCTCCTACGTACCCCAGCTGAAGTACCCCGTGGCAGTAGGGTCCCTTTTCTAATGCTCTCAGTTCACTGTGGGCTCCGATAGCGTCATTTTAAGACACTAACCGCGCGTCCCTCACGCGCGGCACACTGGCCGGAGTTCCACCTGCACATCAGTGAGAGCTCACTGTGCCAAGCCACTAGCGAGTTCTCCAGCCCCTCCCTCTGGGTCTGGGTCTCCCACCCTGGGAGGCTTCTCCTTACCATGGCATCATAGCGCAGGATGTTCATGAAGTGGGCCACCTCGACGCCCTTGTAAACGGTGAACCAGATGGTGCCCTGGTACTGATCGCCGGCATCCAGCAGCAGCACGTTGGGTTCCTCGCCGCGGATCTGCTGCACCTTGGTGAAGAGCCGCGCCACGCCGCCCACGCACTGGCTGGCGTTGAGGCACTTGGTGGAGTCTTCGCTGGTCTGCTCCAGCCGGCTGTGCACGTCATTGGTGTGCAGGATCGTGAGCTCCCAGGCCCCGGCTGTGAGCCACAGCGGCAGCAGCGCGCTCAGCGCGAGGAGCAGCCACTCGGGCGCCGGGGCGGCCGCGGGACGCATGGCTGGCTGGGGCGCGCTGAGCCGGAGGACTGGCCGCGAGCCCGGCTAGCACGGGCCACCCGGGGCCTCCTCTGCGCTCCCGGGGCGGAGCGGGGCGGGGAGCGGCAAGACCCGCCTTCTCCAGCTCCAGGCCCTCCCCGGGGCAGGCGCACTCCCAGAGTCACCCGATCCGACCCTGGCACCCCGGGCACCCCGGAGCGGCCGGCCTGGCACACACGGCCAGCAGGGAACAGAGAGGAGGTTGTTCGCGCGCTGAGCGAACACCTCGGGGAGCCTGGGTGCCACAGTCCCTGGCGGTGGTGGCAGCTTCAGGGGCCGCCTCCCCGATTTCTCTACCAGAGTGTTTGCCGCCTGTGATGCGCTGTAGGTCTTCGCCGAAGATAAGCGAGTGGGGCGGAAAGGAAGACGAAAGTGGGACAGAGAGGGGTCCAGGGCATGCCCAGGAGGTGCGCTCCGCCGTTGCCATGGTGGGACCAGGACACAGCGCGGTCCTGGGTAGGGCTGAGCTCGCCACCGCTCCACGTTGCTCGGATCTGGAATCTCAGAAGCGAAGCAATCTTTGGGATGCAGCCTTTCGTTTAGCTAAATGAAAACCTTAGTGATAAACCGCCGGTGGCGCGCGGCCAGCTCTGCAAGCTAAAGCTGGGTAAACCCTGACAGCTGCCCGGGGCGCTGCCGCCCCGTGCTTTTGCAGTCTTCTTTCCTCTCTGCCCTATTTTTCTAGGTTTTTGAGTATGTGGTGTGTGTGTGTGTGTGTGTGCGTGTGCGCGCGTGTGTATGCAAAGCTTCTATCAGTAGTAGTGGGAATCCATATTTGTTATGAACAAATCATCATCAAATGTAAATCGCTGCAGGTAAAGCTCCGCCTAATGGATTAACTCCTGCATTTGAATGGAGTATAATCAATAAGCCAGCAGCTTTGGGAAAGAAAAGAGTTTGGTTCCCTGTGTTCTACACATTACATAGAACACACCTAATTCCTACGCATGTCCAGAATGCACCAGGTCAGTCTTGTTTTACACACACACACACACACACACACACACACACACACACACACACACACTTTCACACTGGGGCATGTCTAGCACTCAGGAGGCTGAGGCAGGAGACTTGAAAGTACGTGAACAGCCTGGGCTACATAACTAGACCCTATCTCAAACCTCAATCACAACTCAGTTGTTTTTCAACTGCTGTAAAAACACACGTCATGTAAATACACATATTGAACGTTGTAACTTACTGTCCCAAACATACAGTTTAGTGGCATTAAGGGTATTTACCGCCACTCATTCCCCAGACTTTTTCATCTTCCCAAGACGTTATTCTAAACTAATTAATCAGTGACTTCCACACGACCTGGCGGCTTTTACCTGTAATTACAGTACTTGAGAGTCCAGGCAGGAAAATAGTCTGGGCCACATAGCAAGTTATTGGGCTGTGTTAGTGAAGCTCCCTCTCAGAAGAAAACCCACACAAAAGCAACGACTCTTCCTTACTTTCCAGCCCCTGGCAACCAACCAAGTCTACTGTCCGTTTGCACGGATTTGCTCATTCTAGGCATCTTATACTTGCGCTTTTCTGACTGGTTTGTTTTACTTGGCTTTCGACACTCAGTATGTCAGCATTTCCTTCCTTTAAAAATTTTACTGTAGGTGTATATTTATTTGAACACCCACATTCCCAGCAGTTTATTCATAAGACGTGAAAGCAGAAACAGACCAGAGTCAATGGCTGATGAAGCCAGTGAACTGAAAAAACAACTTAGTTGGGAAACACAGTAAGGACCTGCCATGTTACCCATTCTCACATCTTCACCAACACCATTTTCTTTCTCTTTTGTTTGTTTGAAACGATATTCACCTATAAGGCAGGTGTGGTATCTCATTGCAGTTCCTGTTTGCATGCTGTTGTTGGGTAGAAATGCTGAGCATCTTCTTATGAGTTTATTGACCAGTTGTATCATTTTTTTTTGGTAGATATTACCTTAATTTTGTTTTTATTACCTGGGTGGTGGTGGCACACACCTTTAATCCCAGTACTTGGGAGGCAGAGGCAGGTAGATCTTTGAGTCTGAGGCCAGCCTGGTCTACAGATTTAGTTCCAGGACATCCAGGGCTACACAGAAATCCCATCTTAAAATTTTTTTAAATTACATTTATTTATTCATTTTTGTGCACGTGTGTGTGTGTGTGTGTGTGTGTGTGTACATATGGCACACACATAGAGGTCAGGAGATAAGTTTCAGGGCAGATTCCCCTTTCCTACAGTGTGAGTTTTGGTGATCAAACTCAAGTCATGAGGCTTGCAAGTATCTTTACCCAAGGAAGCCATTTTGTTGGCCTTCTGTTCATATCCTTTGTGTCTGTTTCTTCCACTCTTCTTTGACAAGGTTTCAAGGAGTTGAAGATAGCCTCCAGCTCATTATATAGCCAAGTATGACCTTGAACTCTGGTCCTCTTGTATCCATCTTCCTAGGGCTGGGATTAAAAGTTTTTGTCACCATGCAGTTTACAGAGTGCTGGGGACTGAACCCAGGGCTTCCTATATGCCAGGAAGTTACCCTACCAACTGAGCTATATCCTTAGCTCTCCAGAAGTGCAGTATATGCACACATGCTTGAAGATATTATCAAGAGTTCAGTGGTATGTCATCCTGCAGGAACAGAGAATGAGCATGTTGTCTTTGCAACTTACCCCTTTCCAAGACTCCCATCAAGGAAACAATAAAAGAAAGCTAAGACTAGAACATTTCAATAAGGCCTATCTGGAGGACCACTGACTTCCTTTCATGAGCACTAGGATTGGGGCAAAGCCTAGTGTTATCTAGAAAGACCCCTACTTCCTGCATGTATACTAAGCCAGCTACACTTTGGTATGCTGAGCTAGTGGTGTCACTGCATGAGTAGTCTATCTTGTAAAACTCTTGCCTAAAGTAAGCAGGGTGGATCAAAGCACTTCAGAGATAAGGCTGGCTCACTGTCACCAGACCGTGAGACTGTGTCCTTGGTGCAGCTGGTCACAACTGGACCTTTGCAGTGCAGAGAGCCTGCTGGAACTTTAGGATAGTTTTCTATCTGGCTCCTTGCCACAAGATGCTGCCTACCTGCTTAGTTCAGCCACAATTCATATGTAGTTTCAATAATATTTACATCTCACATATGGCTTCCAGGTATATTTTTCTTTTTTCACAACCTGCCCCCACACTGCCCTGGACATAGGTACAGGATGCTACAAAATGCCTTGCTTTTCCATTGCTGAAACACAACAGTGTTGATGCACAAATGTTTCTGTTTATTTATTATTATTTAATGAATGAATGAATTTATTTTTTAGTGCTAGTGATTAAACCCTGGGTCTGGTGTATTCTGCACTTCAGCTCCAACAGGTTCAGTTTAGAAGAAGTCTGATTTAATTTTTTTAAAAAACTTTCCTTTTCCTTAATGTACTTTTTGTGTCATAGTCAAGAAATTATTGCCAAGGGGCTGAAGAGATGGCTCAGGAGTTAAGAGCAGTTGCTGCTTTTCCATTGGACCTGGGTTCAGTTCCTACTGTCCACATTGGGTGACGTACAGGCACTTGTAACTCCATTTCCAGAGGATCTATGATCTACCCTGGCCTCCTCAGTCACCTGTCCTGTACTGTAAATACATACATTCAGGCATAGACACAAGTACATGAAATTAAATAAACAAATAAATATTTAAAAAAAAACTCATTGCCAAATATGATGCCAGAAGGAGGCCATCATTTTATGTTCTCTTCTAAATGTTCTAGTGTTTTAGATTTTTAATATGACATAGTTTTTAATACAATATAAGGCAAAAATTCATGACTTATTGTTCTGTATATAGATATCTAGTTTTCCAGGTTCTATTTGCTGGAATGACATCCATGGCAACCCTGCTTTAAGACATGCACTTTAAGACTCAGAGAACATCACTGCCCGTGCATGGAAGACACTGCAGATTGGGCACAGTAAAGCCAGGTGCCAACAAGACACCGATCCTGTAACACCCTCTGGGGATCAGCCCTTGCAAGGTTTTGTCCCCCTCCTTTCAGTCTTTCTAGAAGGTGAAGTCTGTCATTTGTTTTACTGGTTTTTTTTTTTAAGAGGAAAACAAAACAAACAAACCTACATTTAACAAAAAAGTTGTCTTCCATCCTCCCCTGCAGTCTTTACTGTTGGCTGTTTATATAACTTATGTATCTGTGTGTAATTAATGTGTGTGTGTGATTGCATGTGTGCTTAGAGGTTGATGTCTTGCCTGGCATTTATGTTCTTACTACCTGGGGATCAAACTCAGATCCTCCTGTTTGAGCAGCAAGAACTTTTCTGACAAAGCCCTTCCCCATCCCTCAGCTTATATAACATGAATGCAAAGCTACTAACTATAGTTCTAATTTTTATTTGGAATTCATTAGCCACCCCTCTAACTTCCCTTTTCTGTTCCAGGGTGAAATCCTAAGCTGTATTTAGTTTGTTCACATTCTTTTTTTTTTTTTTTAAAGATTTATTTATTTTTTATACAACGTCCTGCTTGCACACCAGATCTTACTATAGATGATTGTGAACCACCATGCAGTTGCTGGAAATTGAACTCAGGACCTTTGGAAGAACAGCAAGTGTTCTTAACCTCTGAGCCATCTCTCCAGCCCTTTGCTCACATTCTTAGTCTCCTCTGACCTGTGAGGCTTTCTTAGCTTTGTCTTGTATTGCTTTGGCATTAAACGTTTCTTTAAAAATACACTTATTTATTATGTGTGTGGAGGAAGACAACTTGCAGGAGCTGGCCCTTTCTCTTTACCATAGGGGTCCCAGATGTGGCTGGCACCTTTATTCACTGAACCATCTGGTCAGCCCTACATTAACATTTTTGAAGGGTGCTGGTACTTGTATTCTTTCCCTTAATTTGGGCTTGTCTAAGGTTACTTCATGATTAGACTGAAGCAGGACAGTTCTAGCAAGTATGCCACAAAGGGAAGATGCCTTCTTGAGGTACAGCAGACTGGTGTGACAACTCTGTTCCCCCCATGCATATTCTTGTGTGTGA